GCTTGTTTTGAATGTTGGAATTTATATTTTGCTAAACTCAAGCACAGTGGCAGTTTATGATCCTGTTTATGGGGATTTCGCTGAAAAAATTATTACAGCATCAGGGATTTTTGATAAAAGTGTAAATTAAAAATATTAAAAATACCGAAAGATTGTGGATTATTATATTCAATGTTTTAGTATTAGTATATTTTTAATTATACAAAATAGGCTTAAGTTTATGTATTTAGGTTAGGCGTTTACGCTTTTATGCAGAATAATTTTGTGGACAAATCAAGTTTTTAAATTTAAATTTAGGAACAAAATAAACTTTGCAACTATGCTATAAACTATGCACGATGTTGGTCGTGCATTAATTGCGCCAATGAGTTCCTTAATTGCGCCAAGCCCTCAAAGGATCCCAAAAAATGTTCCTTTAGTTTCGCCAAGCTCATGCCAGACAGGTAGGGGCGAGTCGCCGGCAGAAGAAATGTCCTTGTTTACGTGTGATCCTAACCTAACCTAACTTAACATAACCTACTCAATTATACAGACAAAGAGGGAACGTATCGGGTGGCTCCCTGAAGTATTTTGCGTAATTCAGGAATCTATTCAGGACTACCTGACTCAGGTCAGTTGGCGCATTTAATACCCGTTCGAACTAGAAAAGTGAGATTGAATAGCTTTGATGTTTATTGGCGTGTTCTTGATTATTTAAAAATTTTCAATCTCAAAAATAGTGATATTGTTATTTATATTGTGCTGTGTACAGTCAGTAACAATTTTTGATGGTGGAACGCCGCAGCAGTGGCAGATGGCTGGGTTGACATATGGTGTTTCGGCCTCGGTCGAACGATGCCTGTTTGTTTTCATGATTGAATCGCTGCCCTCAATGAGTCCATGTGTACACGCACTCTCTCTCTCCCCTGCTACCAACATATTAATTTATTGTCCAATAAGCTGGTCTCTTAGGCGCATATCCCTCAACAAGTGATTACAACCCCCCCCCCCCCACACACACTTATTGGCTCAACAATATCGTCCCAAATTGGTGTTGGCACCCTTGTCAGCGACTGTGATTCCCTCTTAGGTGCTAAGAAAAAGTTAGGGGTTAAACAAATAAATCTATAATAAACAATAACATTTTTGTATAGTAATCACAACAACTTTTAACAAAATGAGAAATTTTTGCTTTTTCTTTTGAAATTTGATATTAGTTATTTAATTTTATTACACCACTGGAACGAAAGGTTCATATTTTGTTGCAAAACTATTTACAGTATAAACAGCAAATGTTTGAAAGGTTTTTATATTTTATTTAGGTCGTTTGCATATGCACAGCTATGCATGATTTCGTCTATGATCCAATTGGTTTGTTTTAATTTTTGACTGAAGATACACGTTACTAAGTAAACAAATTGACTAGCATAAACATTGATAAAAATATCTAATCTATTAAATACAAGATATTTTATTCGGTTTAATTCATTCTGATATTAGCGTAAAAATGTAAAATCAATTAAAAACGAAATTAATATCGAGCCAAAAACATTTGCGTAATCTTGTGACTGACTTTCTGTGCTTGTGTTTCCACCTGTTTGTCTGTTTGTGAGAGTGATCGCTAGTTTGTGTAAAGTTTGTCAGTTTGTGTTTGTGTCTAACTCTGTGATTGTAGTTTCACCTGTTTGTCTGTTTGTGAGAGTGATCGCTAGTTTGTGTAAAGTTTGTCAGTTTGTGTTTGTGACTAACTCTGCGATTGTAGTTTCACCTGCTAGTCTGTTTGTGAGAGTGATCGCTAGCCTGTGTGGTGTTTGTCAGTTTGTGTTTGTGACTAACTCTGTGATTGTAGTTTGACCTGTTTGTGAGAGGGATCGCTATTTTGTGTGATATTTGTCAGTTTGTGTTTGTGACTAACTCTGCGATTGTAGTTTCACCTGTTTGTCTGCTTATGACAGTGATCGCTAGTTTGTGTGATATTTGTCAGTTTGTGACTAACTCTGCGATTGTAGTTTCACCTGTTTGTCTGTTTGTGAGAGTGATCACTAGTTTGTGTGATATTTGTCAGTTTGTGTTTGTGACTAACTCTGTGATTGTAGTTTCACCTGTTTGTCTGTTTGTGAGAGTGATCACTAGTTTGTGTGATATTTGTCAGTTTGTGTTTGTGACTAACTCTGTGATTGTAGTTTCACCTGTTTGTCTGTTTATGAGAGTGATCGCTAGTTTGTGTGATATTTGTCAGTTTGTGTTTGTGACTAACTCTGTGATTGTAGTTTGACCTGTTTGTGAGAGGGATCGCTATTTTGTGTGATATTTGTCAGTTTGTGTTTGTGACTAACTCTGCGATTGTAGTTTCACCTGTTTGTCTGTTTATGACAGTGATCGCTAGTTTGTGTGATATTTGTCAGTTTGTGACTAACTCTGCGATTGTAGTTTCACCTGTTTGTCTGTTTGTGAGAGTGATCACTAGTTTGTGTGATATTTGTCAGTTTGTGTTTGTGACTAACTCTGTGATTGTAGTTTCACCTGTTTGTCTGTTTATGAGTGTGATCGCTAGTTTGTGTGATATTTGTCAGTTTGTGTTTGTGACTAACTCTGCGATTGTAGTTTCACCTGTTTGTGAGAGTGATCACTAGTTTGTGTGATATTTGTCAGTTTGTGTTTGTGACTAACTCTGCGATTGTAGTTTCACCTGTTTGTCTGTTTGTGAGAGTGATCACTAGTTTGTGTGATATTTGTCAGTTTGTGTTTGTGACTAACTCTGTGATTGTAGTTTCACCTGTTTGTCTGTTTGTGAGAGGGATCGCTAGTTTGTGTAAAGTTTGTCAGTTTGTGTTTGTGACTAACTCTGCGATTGTAGTTTGACCTGTTTGTCTGTTTGTGAGAGTGATCGCTAGCCTGTGTGGTGTTTGTCAGTTTGTGTTTGTGACTAACTCTGTGATTATAGTTTCACCTGTTTGTCTGTTTGTGAGAGTGATCACGTGTCCACGCCTCGCCACAATCCTCTCACAGTTTGTCTGTTGTGTCGCACAGCTCTATAATTAGATGATGTGGCCGCGGTGCCTATTGTCAACTGTCACCCTCTCCGCCCCTCATCCCGCACATGACAATCATTCTCCCCTCGATGTGATGCCCTTATTTACACGCAATCCGAGTCTATCGTCCCTCCTCCACAACCAATTAGCTAAACCATTTCGCTCCTTGCCAAACGCACTCGGCTCCAAGTTTTCATTTACTTCTCAAATACATTCCTCGTTCCGCACCCTTTCAAAGAAGGCGATGCCGGTTTTGCCTCGACTCAACGACCGGAACGAATCAATCAATCAACATCGACTTAGCGCCCCCCTGATCTCTCAGTCTGTCTACCTCTTAAATCATCGGAAAAGACCAACATTTACTGGAACTGACTGATATTTCCCGCAACGATTTCCACTTTTACTTGTTGGTATAAGTGTCGTTCTTAAATATTCCGTTTACTTAAGTCTATGTATCGACTGAAGCTTGTTTACAGTAATTGCTTAAATTGTTATCCTGTTAATTTTTTACTGAATATTTTAGGAACGTCTCTATTTCTCGTTAACACTTCGTCATCTCTTAAGTTCTCGCTGTAGCACAGTTTGCTTAAAAAAAGATTTGAAAGTTAACCTCATTTAGTAAGTGTCAGCTAACATGTACACAAATTATATTCTTAATAACATATTCTCCGCATTTCAGATGACTATAAACTAATTGAAACTTACTTTTATACGGTGTGAAGTGTATATTAGTATGTTACTCGTATATCTGCTGAGTTCTATTATTTTACTTTTCAACTTTTAATCACCCAGAGCATTTCTATAAATCTTTACAGCTATTTTATAACCTGTTATAAAAATAAAGATACACATATATATGTAGAAAAAAAAAACATTACAATTTTCATGTTTTATATGTACTCTTCCATGTCTCTTTGGTATTATCAGTAGATAAATCCCTTTGTAGTAGCATGTTTGTTATACGTGTAAAATTAAAATAATCAAAATAAATAAAAAAAAGTTTTTACAGTTTTTTATAAACAATATTCTGGAAAAACACATTTTGAACACCTTTTTATACCACTCACAAACGAATATACGATGTGACGAATTGATATTGGCAATTGAATAATTGCAATCCCTTCCAAAGTAATAATCCACCAACATCGAGACTAAAAGTCACTGGGGTGTGAAGTTCTGTTGTATACGTCGCGAGGTTCATTTTCACTTGGATTGGCTCGTTTTGTAGTTACCTGCGAGAGGGTAGATGGTTAGATAGATGGGGGGTAGGCACACGTTACCAGGCTGATAAGAAGGGTAGCGCGGGTTTGCGTGCCTAAGAGCCGATTGAACGACATCCTTATCAGGGAGATAGCAGCAATTGTTATCAAGCGATTCACGTTGGTGTGCTCTGCTCAGTCTTCCGACCCTACAACCCCACAACTTCGCTCAAAACACGTCCCAATTATTCTACACTTGTCTCATCTGCTTTGTGTTGCCACGTATACCAGTTCAAAAGTTAGTAATATCTTTCACTGTAGTTTTCCCGGAAAGATAAATAGATCTTTTGAACGGTGGCTTTTACAAAATCTCCGTTAAATCCTCTACATATCCGTTGCTTTTCGACGTCATTGTTTTGGCAAGGGTTGTACCGTAATATCGAAGACCTAATAAATTATATTGACTTCTGACGGTTATTATACGCAATGGTACATTTCCCCCTTCCGTTTTTGTTACTGTTTTAATATATTCTTTGGCACATTTTTATTTATTTATACACGGTAAACACCATTTTACTGTACATAGTACATTACTTTGTTAACAGATGGCCAAGGTAAAACAATACGTAATGATAACATGTGACCATTAGACCTATCTACACTTTGAATGATAACTAAATTTGAGAAAAAATTATAAATATTGTATCACTGCAAGTTATTTTACGTCAAAGCCTATTCAAACATAATTTTCTCTTTGCCTTAAACTCAACATTCCCCTTTATTGTTACAGAAGGAATGCAGACAGACACGGGCGAGACTCAGGCCAAGGGGGCTGACACCCTCACCTTCTCCATAGCCAAGATCATGGAACCCGACAAGCCTCGGATCTCCTACCAGAACAGTCTTGACTCCGCGTTCAAGAAGTACGTCCCTGTGATCCATCCTCAGAACCTGCTACAATACCCAGTGTTATACTACCATCCGGGGTACCACCACTACCTGCGGAGTCCTCTGGCCACGGGGGTGGTGACCGAGGGCGCTGGCGACTCTGCTGAGGCCGACAACAAGGAGTCTGGGGAAAATCGGACTAATAATCGACATAAAACGTTCACCTGCACTGACTGTGGAAAGGTAACGTTATAGGTTTGCAATGTAAACATTAATTTCAACCCAATCTGTTTTTACTAACGAGATCAATGGCACACATTTGTTTAACGACCAGATATATTTGCACTTAAACGGGAATAGTGTTAAAAAAGTATTTCGGTCCCCGAGGTCCCGGGTTCAAATCCTGCCAAATCACCAATGGATTTTATCTAAATATATTGCCGCAACGGGGATAGTCCAACTCCGCGCGGTGGTCAGATTTAAGACGAGGAAAAGTTTTATAGCCCCTGAAGTATCAAGTCCAACTCCGCGCAGTTGCCTCATTTAATTTCTATGCTACCCATCAATATTTAACTTGTACTTGTTGTGCTCTCGGATGAGATATTATGTGTAAAATACAAAATATTCTATAGGTCGTTATATATATATACATACAGGGTGCTTTTGTTTTACTTGCTTCTTTATTTATGTAAAAACTGCAATAGATAGAAATCTGCATTTTGCGGGAATCGTCTATTGACGTAGGGGCCACAATTGTTGTGAATGTATCGTGAAGTTCCCATTCGCCCCCTTTCCCCCTAACATTAACTTACAATTTTTAAATTGCAAGGTGCCCCTTTTTACATGTGGAAGAATGGCACAAACTATAGAATATTTTGTGTTGTGTTATCTAAGAGATCTCTACGTCAATCCTATCAAAAGTTATGACGGTTCAAAATTTGAATATTTCCTCCCCATTTTTAAGAAAACGCACTTTTTTTAACGGCTGTAGCTAAAAAACGGCAAGAGCTGACGGCAAAGATTCCAAAAACGGCAAAGATTTGAAAGAATCATGGACAGGAATTAAATTTTCTACAAAACTTTTTTTACGGTTTTTTTATCGAACAAGCATTTTTCAAAGGTGTGACTAGCTGGCATGCTTGTTCAATAAAAAAAACGTAAAAAATCCGAGAAATTTTACAAAAGGGGTATCTTGAAATTTAAAATTTTTTAGTTAAGGGTAGGGGGAAAAGGGTGTGAAATTCACATTAAATTCACAACAATTGTGGCCCCGACGTCAATAGACGATTCCCACAAACTGCATATTCATATCTATTGCAGTTTTTACATAAATAAAGAAGCAAGTTAAAAAAAAACACCCTTTATACATATGCCGTGTGTCCCAAATGTAATGTTACACTTGTTGTTCATAGCTACTTTATTCATATGACAGGTTAGGTTAGGTTAGGTTAGATTAGATTAGGTTAGGATAATGATAGGTAAATTCAAATAAAATATAAGTATTCTCTTTTGAACTGGTTAACTTTATTTTATTAGTTAGCCTACTGTGGTTTCATACAGTTCTAAATTATGTACATTACATTTATAACAATTTCAAACTTCAAATACAAACTCTCAGCCGTCAGGACTGTCTGTGAGAGCCAAAATTGACCACCGCGCGGATTTGTACAGTCGAATATGCAAAAGCGTACTGCGAAAAAAAGCCCTACACCTCGAATCTTGTGAAATAAGTGTACAGGATCTTTTGTAATCGGCCGTTGAATAAGTCCCCTTTTTTGAGCCCATATTACGCACTAGTCAGTCATGCAGAAGACAATCTATCAGCAATCTGTTAGTTTCGTCATTTTCATGCTCTTGCAGTTTAGCTACTTCTATATCCATTACAGTAATATTGTTTCCAGGTATTCAACGCCCACTACAACCTGACACGGCACATGCCAGTTCACACTGGGGCAAGACCATTCGTCTGTAAAATCTGCGGTAAGGGCTTTCGGCAGGCATCAACGCTCTGTAGACACAAGATCATCCACACGGAGGAGAAACCCCACACATGTACCACGTGCGGCAAGGCCTTTAACCGCAGCTCCACACTCAACACACATGCAAGGATACATGCAGGATATAAGCCATTCACGTGTGAGTACTGCGGCAAAGGATTCCACCAGAAGGGCAACTACAAGAACCATAAGCTGACGCATAGCGGGGAGAAAGCCTACAAGTGCAATGTCTGCAACAAGGTACGAGCGCAATTAAATGCTTCGTATACGGAACAACAAAATACTTTTATATATATACTTTGAAATTTCTAGAGAAAACTGTAGGTATTTAACAGACAAATGTCCTTCATAGAATATTTGTATTTCATTTCCACGGAATATGTTTTCTCATAGAAATACATCTAATACATATAGATATCTCTTAATAGCAGACCGGAGCGTAAAATACTACATATGGAAGCTGCAATAAACTATTCCTCCAAGAATCAAAGATGTTAAAAACATGACATATCTTGAACTCCAAAATCAACTGGCAATGCATCTCAGCATACTTTCCTTTCATCTCATCTCTTTAGGTATCCGAGAAAACTTAAGCTACATTTCATTGCGGTAACCCTTTCATTGTATTTCTGAAAGATTGTGTGTTACAAAAGACATATGTTCTCGGAGATTCAGTAGAAATCATAGATCTTACAATATCATTCAAGTTCTCTATAAACTGTCTAAAGAAGCTTATCTTTATCATGTTTGTGTCTACCAGTTTATTTCTGTTTTAGGCGTTCCACCAAATCTACAACCTGACTTTTCATATGCACACGCACAACGAGAAAAAGCCGTTCACCTGCAGAATCTGTGGGAAGGGATTCTGCCGAAACTTTGACCTCAAGAAACACATGCGGAAGTTACATGACTCCAGCTCTCCGGAGAGTCAGGACCAAGGGCCTTCCTTGCAAAGTCCTGGCAGCTTCCTGGGACCTCTAATGGTGCCGTCCACACCCTACGTGTCTAAGCTCTTGTGACAGCAGATCTTCCTGCATCGCCCCGACACCAGAACTTAGCTGTGCGCTTCATCTGCCAATCGCACTCGCAGTGCTAGTGCTAAAGGCTTGGATTCCATTAGTTTTTTTACATATACGATCACTTAAAATTAGCTTTTAATGTACCAACCGAGACAAATAAAGTGGATTGAGTCTAAAAAAAGTAAAACGTCTAAGAAAGCTACAAGTTCTTCAAACATCGGTGTAACCAAGTCAATAATGGAATTAGATTAGTTCACTTTTCTCACTGGTTAAGCTAATATTAAAACCTGATCATAAGATTATTAAAATATGGGCAGATTAAAATATTTAATTGAACCACTGTCCTCAGAAACCCACTTAGGGCAGCAATGTTAAATTGATTTGTCTTTTGGCCATTTTGATATTGCTTTACAAGTGGCCAAAACAATCTCTCATGATTAATTATTATTGTTACGTGTTTTACACCAAACTGTTCTATCCATTGGTCATCTATTGGCCTTAAAAATATCCTCTGCATATACATACAACGTTAAAGTCTCTATTTCATTATCAACCATTTATTTAGACAAACACTTTTTGTTGAAAGAACATTTTGCTGGGATATTACTATTTCATAATGAATGTTACGTTGAAGTTGGTCCGATCAAAATGTTTTATAACGTGTGACAATAGAAAATTAATTGTGAAATACGACGCACAATACGATGATTTGTGCACTAAAACATAATAGCTAGAGCAAATGAAATTCAATTCATTCAGCACTGTGAATGCGAAGGCTTTGATAATAGAAAAAGATGAAAAAGTGATATAAACAAAAATGAATAAACTTAATCGTGTATCTTAGTGCGGAAAATGACACATCTTTCTACAAGGGTTTACTGCATTTATGAATAAAGTCCATGGTTCCATTGTTTGAAAAAGTCTCTCAGTTTACAAATATGCTCAGTCAAATAACCGTTTACGTAAACAGTCTTTTTGTGACAACATGATAAACAAAATTAAAACAAGAAATGCAAATATGTTTGAAATAATGTGACGGGCATAGATAAAATACGTAAACTATTTAAATTTAAATGACGGATTATTTAGAACATGATACAGTACATTTCTTGTACGGATGCAGTGTATGACTTTTTGACATTCGATCACACACATGTTAGCAGAAAAGACCTGTCCAAAATGAATAATCTTAGAAAATCAATCTTTAACAATCTTGAGCTAAACTATAGAAAACAATTTGCAAAGTCCACACAAGTACAATAAAAATGTTAATGAGAGAAGAGTAAACTGATGTTGCTGTTAAAAACAATACAACATGTTAAAATATAAATTTAGTTGATTTTATTTTTGTTCTGGGACACTACATCTAATTACTGTGTTGTACAGTTTTATGCTGTTGAAATTTCAAAGCCCAATGAAGTTTGGTATTTCGTTATTTGATTAAAAGTAATAAAAGTTACAACATTGATTACTTTCTCTCATGATAATTCATTTTTTGTCTAGACACCTCATAAACTGAACGACTTGGAGGAAAGAAATTGCATTCAACTATCAAACAGTAACCTAAAATCTTTCATGTTTCATTATACGTTCCCGAAGGTTTTTTTCAACCTCTAAGTATGCATATCTAGACTGTAGGCCTAAAGATCCTGTTGGTGTATTCTTTATGTGTGTACAAATCCCTAAAACATCTTCAGTTCGTACTTTCAACCTCGTGTTAGATACATAAATGTCTTTACGGGCCTAAGTGTTGATCAAAGACTATATTGCCCTTATTGGGGAAACAGTTGTAGCTGTGTTTATAAGTATATATGTATTCTTACGCAATATATTTTAAGTATACAATCAAAGGTGTAAAAATACGTTAACAATGTTTCGTTAAGTTTTATTTATATTCGGGATGTTTTGTTGAATAATTTGCATTGGAATGTGTGTTTGTTTTAAATAGTTAAAGGCGTAAGTTGATCGATAATATTTCCATGTATACAATAAATTTGATAAATTTTGTAAAATACTATGACTGAGGAAGCTATCACGAAAATGATCTGAAAAAATTTTTAACATCTACAGTAGGATTTTATAGAATGTGACAAAACCTCCTCGTATTATTTTCTTGAGTAATAGTCTGAGGCATTCTAATTGGTTGATTATGTAAAAGCATTGTGAAACCAAACGTTTGATATTTTTACAGTACAACGTTTGTGTGTTGAATACAAATTAATACAGACTAGCGTTTTATAAAACTACTTCTGCTGTTCAATAATAAAAAATGGAAAGATAATGAGTCTATTGGTAAGAATAATTATCCAGCAATTTTAAAGAACTACTTTGCTAAAATATTTTTTTTAAAGAAATGTAAAAATAAAAAGCGTAAACAACGTTTTCAGCACATAACACTCTCTTCTCAAGCAAAACAACGCATAATGATAAAAGAAATCAATATATATATATATATATATGATAATATTATTATATAAAGAATGAATAATGTTAATAAATGTAATCATGTAACATTACAGGTGGTTAGTTTCGTATTATGGACGGTGTTTTGTAATTTTTATTAAACATCTGCTCATGTCTAGCTTCTAATATCCATGAAAAGTTAATGTTTTCAGGGGCTTGCACATTCTTTATTACTATTGGCCTAAATCCTAGATAAACAAAATGTCCTGCTTAAAGTGGCTTAGATACCTGCATTTAAGTAGTCCAATTCGATGCTTATGTTGCAACCAGCTTCAATTTCTTGGAGCCATCTTCAGGCAAGTTGTCACTTCATTTGAAGGTCTTCATAGTTAAAAAAAAGAGAAATATGTAAACATTTATCGCGAACATTGTCTAGAAAATTGTAAAGACATTTAAAGACATCCGGCCGGTACGCGTCGCTCATCTTCTCAGTAACATTGTGTGTGTTTTTTTTATATTTTTAACGTCAGTGCTCAATGTTCAATGCTCGTGTTAAGTGTTTATTCGTTTTTTTTTAAAACTATGACGACCTTCAAATGAAGTGACAGCTTATATCCTTGGAAGCCTGAAGATGACTCCACGGAGTTGAAACTGGTTGCAACATAAGCAACGAATTGGATTAGTTAAATACAGGTATATCTAAATAGGTAATCCATCAATATGAACATTTCCTATTTTATAAGGAAGCTAAATTTATCAACACAAAATTATGAACTCAATAGGACTCAGTAAAGCACCAAGCACTACGCTCTGCAGTATGTAAGAGATAAATACGCCTATGACTGTTATGTATTTGTGTTCATATTTAACTAATTTTATTTTTCTCGATCTTTTAACTGAATATGTACAAAAATGTTTTAAATTATAATGACCATATGGATGATAAATGGTTAGATGAATAAATCAATTTGCATATTTTGTTTTTGTTGTGAAACAACAAATTCTCTTACCATCTCAATGCAGGGACTTTGTATTTATGATGTATTGATTATTCTGTAGTCGTTGATTTAAATATACCAAAGATATTTTTACATTGCGTATGACTTTTACCTAAGACCTATTGCAAGAAACTACAGTACATCTGGATTGACGGGTATATATAATAATACCCTCCTCAGCAGCAAACCTACTGACTAAGCGAATTTCCATTTGCCTGGTCGGATTTCCACTGAAATCCTATGCTATCCTATCCTATATTATAATATGAGTAAAGTTTGAATATACATACATACATACATTTTGTTATATTGTTATTTGTTACTTCGATCTAGGAATCGGCACTAAGAAACACATTTAAAAAACTACGGTATAACAAGGTTTTACGTCAAAAATATCCAGTGGCAAAGCTGGGAAAAATTGAATTTCACTATAATACACAGGGTGTCCCGGAACTCTCTACCAAAGTTTTAGAGCATTGTTCCTGAGTAAGAAACATATCTAAATACCATATTTAAATTGTCCGGAAGTCGTTATTTACTCACACAGCCGCCATTTTTTTACTTGTGTCAAAGTTAAAACGTTTAAAGAGAACAGTTCATAAGTAGTGAAGCGTTAAAAATATGTTCCCCATTACAATCATATTCAAATTTTACTTACACAAAAGGTTAAACATTCTAGCTCCACAGTACCACTATGAGGATTTTGGTATTCTGCTTTTATTGTGACCCAGTGGTTCGGAACCCGTTAAGAGCAACGCCTAACTGCGAAGTGGAATTCTTCATTGGGCTATAATCCTGATAGAAAGCTCAGATCGACAGATAACACGTATTATCGTGGAGGGGCTTAGCCCTTCTCGTTCGTGTCAAAAACAAACCCTCTTGCCCTTCCACCCTCAATGCAAGGGCTATTCAACAACAGAATAAAAGAAACGCGCTGTGCTCAAGTGTTAACAAGACGTATTTAGTGGGCAGGGTACAACTGCATTTACGCAGATTACTTCATATAGAAATACAACTTATAGAGACAAAGGGTATTGAAACAACGGCAGTTAAATCCAATCAAATAAAATATCTTTAGCGACTTTTAACAGTATTCGACAATGTCGTTCGTTCTTATATGTAACAAAAAGGTATTTCAATCTAACACAAGGAAACCTAACAAACAACCAACAACCTATTGTGCAATTCGTTGTGTTGTTGGTTTGATTTACAGAGCTTTTATTCTTAAAAATAAATACTCCCGCCGCAGCAAACCTGCAGACTAAGCGAATTTCCATTTGCCTGATTCGATTTCACTCAAATATCTCCTTAAGACTGTCATATTTGAATAAAATTAGTTTAATAAGTGCTTAGGTTTGCTGCTACAGGAAGGTAATTAAGTGGGGTTTTAGTGAAATGTTAATAGTTTAGTATAAAAGATGTTATTCCAAAATACAAATTTTCAAACTACATTTAGAAGTTTAGAGCTGCACGAACTTCCATCATATTCCAATACCACATGGTCAATAAAGACGTCTTCCAGTTTGGAGAAGCCTAGGTATATTATATTTTGTTTCCAGACAGCTAGGGACAATAGTGCACGAAAAAGAACTGATGAATTTGATCACTGTAAAATTAAAAAATCTCAAAGTATTTCTGAACTCTGAATATTATCCATATATCGATTTAAATCTCGACTTTGAAAATGGAGATGTCTCTAAAGCTTATGAGATGTTTATGAGGTTTAGAGAGACTTACTATAATACTATCCCAGATCCTATGATTAGTAGGGCTGAGTTTATGAAGAAATATCCACTAATTGTGATAGATTGTTCTAGACAGAACGAAACAGTGAAGGAAGGAATTGTTGATATTAAATTAGAGATTGAAACTGCAGAAAATGTACCAGCAAATACATCTGCATATTGTTTGATAATACATGATAAAGTGTTTGAGTACAATCCTTTTGACAAATGAGATAAATAAAATGTAAATAAAAGATGAAAAACATTCAACAAGAATTGGTTGACTCTGCAAATCAAATACGAGAGAAATATAGAGCTTTAAAGCGTGGCAAGTTTCTAGAGGCTGAAGAGAGGTTCCAAACATTCCAACCTTTAATAGAGCCATTACAAGAATTATAAAAAAAATCACTACTATGGTCTCCAAATTGGAGAGGCCTCAAATGGAGATTCTTCCAATGACCCCATCTAGAATACCAAGATTACAACAATACACCCCACAGAAATTAAATTTTGGTCTTTTAGCATTAGACTATTTAGAAAATTACATCAGTAGAAGTAGTATGACAGACACTACATATTGTATTAGACGAGAAGCAAATAAATTTTGTATTGAAAATAAAGAAGTTGAAATTGCCAGTTATGATGTTACAGCTGCAAATAAAACCTACCAGGGAACAAAAGGTTTAAGGCAATTGTTAAGTTTAAAAGAACCTGAAGATTATATTCCGGCTGATTTGCAAAATTATAAAGAGATTTAGGAAGCTACAAACGGACATTTAAAGAGTTACAAAGATGGTGCACCAATGTCAAGTAATAGACATACTAAATATCCTAATATAATTAAACCCCTGTTTAAGTCTGTTGGTGAAGGTTTGAGACAAGTGACTGGTAATAAAATAGACTATATTTATTGGGATTACCCTAATGAGCTTGTAGATAGGTTAAGACTTCTTTGGCTAAGTCGCCAAACCGGTAACTCAGGAGTGGATAATGAAATAGATTCCATTATTGAAGAATTGAGAAAAAGTGGAATTATTTATTAAATAAAAATATATTTATAGAGAAATGTTATCGTTTATATAATCCATATAGCCAGCAGAACCTAGGGCAGCTAATGAGCCTACTTTATATTTAAAAGACAATAGTTGGAATTGTTTAAACTGTAAAATTGGTAGTGTTAAAGATGGAGAGTTTGTAGATGATGTGTCGACTTTGGGGCAGACATTAACTAGAAAAGGTGATGTCTTTGTACAAGGTAAAACTAAATATGAGTTTTTAGAATCTAAGAATAAAAATTGGAATGCTAAAAAACAGAAAATTACTAATGTGAAAAAGGGTGAAAGTTTAGATGATGTACCCACTTTACAACAGACTTTAATATGAAAAGATGGTACCTTTGTACAAGGCAATAATAATAATGAATTTTTAGAATCACAGAATGGTGTTTGGAATGCTAAAAAACAGGAAATTAGTGGTTTGATGGAAGGTAAAGATGGTAAAGATGCTGTGAATGTTTCATAAGTTCCAAAAATGGAAGCAGGCTATTGGGATTTTAATAATAAAAGGTTAGTACTATTAAACCCGTCATTGATGACACTAGTTGTGTTAAAAATAAAAAATAAACATAAATGTTGGGATGCCAAAACACATTTATAAGGAACCTGCCAGAGGGGGGACATTTGGGTGACATTTGTCTAATGTCACAAGCGGGTCGCCGGATGAATGCCCCCCGGAAAACTACCCCCCCAAGCAGGTTCCTACGTCATATTGACGTCAGAGACCGGGGGGGGGGGGCACGGCCACTCAAATTTAGTTGTCAAACAGTTCTAATCTAACCTAACCTAACCAACCAAACTTGCTGTAACATTTCGAAAATCTGTTTTATATTCACCACATGCCTTTTCTATTATCCAACGGAATTACTCGAATTAAAATTAAAATTACATAGCATGATTTGTCTAGGGGGGGTAGTATTCCAGTCGCGGACACGGCTTCCATATTGGATAGTTGGCAGATTTTGTGACGTCACGTTTCACCTGGGGGATAGTATTCCGCATCCCCTCACAAGCTATGCATTATGATGGATCGAAATTTGTATATGGAGAAAAAAAAATAATTTGATGGAATACAATCCTGATTTATTAGTTGCCGACCCCACATCTTTGAGTGGATTTAAGTATATAGATAATAGAC